GCATATTACACAAGTGCTGTTAGTTACACGTCTTCTTCACCTCGCTGACCATATGTTATGTTCCCTGCTCCAAGCAGCAGCAGTTTAACCATAGCCCGAGGATGTTTTATTGTCTACCAACTTACCTCTTCATATGAAGTGTTAGTCAGGAACACCTTTGCTAAGGAGGTGAGTCATGCTTCAATTCTGGCCAAGAAAATGAAGACTGCGGTAGGTCAGATGTGTGAGATATGACGAACAGGGACTCCTCACTTTGCATGTGTTCCAAGTTTATCAACAAACTTTCCGTATATGAAAGTCCAGGAAAAGAATTTGACACTAATGGAAAACACGACCTTAATACAAGGAGCTAAAGATCTTGTGATGTAATGCTGGAGAACAGCTGTCTCTTTAAATGGAGGCTACAGACCTGAGATGCTCCTGTTCTCCCTCTGCTCATAAGGAAGTGCTTTGTCTTTCTAAATGTATCTGATATTGATTTCAGAAAAAAGTCTTGCAACAAAAGTGCAAAAAAATAGCCATGTCTGTATTAGTTGGACAAAAAAAAAAAGGTCTGCAGTGCAAGAGGGGGTTGCAAATGTAGGGCAAAGTAGCAAATGCAAACCCGTGATGCCGGAAGAAGTGAAGGTGCTGTAAGCTGTAATAAGAGAGCGTGTTGCAGAGAATCACTTTCAGTGATAATGTTGACCAGCTGAAGACAGAAAACAAGACAAACAAAACAGACAACCAAAACAGTATAGGAAGGTTTTTAAAGGATTCTAAATAAAGAGTAAGCACAAGATAAAAAAAAGAGAATGCATTTAAACTGTAACCAAAATCATAAATCATACAAATAACTTGAACAATATGACAGCATAAACAACAAAATAACTAGAAACAATAGTTGTCCATTCTTTAAAGGAATGTCAACGTACAGTCAATAGATTTGTACCGTAGAGAAATCCAGATACTACCTTCTCTGTTGTATGCTAAATTCAGAGTTCTAGTTTCATTCTGACACCCACAAGAATGTAAAATCATGTATAATTGCAAACAACATAATATTCAAGCTTGATTTTAAAGTTGTGGTCCAGATCCTTTGCTATAGCATGGAGTCAGTGGAGCTATGCTGAATCATGCCATACAAGGACCAGCTGGAGGCATTTTAATGTTCCTGTGTGTTGATCCTTCTTTTATTTATGACACTTGGAACTTTTAAATATTCTGGTTAAATAAGTATTATTTTGTGAGTATTTTTTGTTACTAGATTTGTTTTGCACTCAATCCCACTGTCCATGTTGCTGATAAAGACGTTAAACAGCACCAGTCCCAATACCAACCCCTGAGGAATGCCACTCATCACTGGTCTCCACTTGGACACTGAGCCATTGACCGCAGCTCTTTGAGTGCGACCATCAAGCCAATTCCTTATCCACCGAGTGGTCCATCTATCAAATCCACGTCTCTCCAATTTAGAGACAAGGATGTCAGGTGGGACAGTGTCAAATGCTTTGCTCAAGTCCGGGTAGATGACATGAGTTGCTCTTCCCTTATCCACCAATGCTGTAACCCCATCGTAAAAAGCCACCAAGTTTGTCAGGCATGATTTGCCCTTTGTGAAGCCATGTTGGGTGTCACCAGTCACCTCCTTATTTTCCATGTTCCGTAGCATAGTTTCCAGGAGGATCTGCTCCGTGATCTTGCCGGGCACAGAAATAACACTGACTGGCCTGTAGTTGCCCACATCTTCCTTTTTACCCTTTTTAAAAATGGGGGTTATGTTTCTACTTTTCCAGTCGGCTGGAACTTCACCAGACTGCCATGACTTCCCAAATATGATGGATAGTAGCTTAGCAGCTTCCAAAGTCTGCTCTCCTGGGTTGCACGGTAGTGAGTTTGCTGTGTGCCCTCCTCGCTGTCCTAAGGATCTCAAAATCCACCATTTCATGGTCACTGCAGCCAAGGCTGCCCTTGAGCTTCACATTCCGCACCAGCCCCTCCTTGTTGGTGAGAACAAGGTCCAGCATAACACCTCTCCTCGTTGGCTTCTCTGTCACTTGGAGAAGGAAGTTATCATCAATGCAGGCCAGAAACCTCCTGGGTTGCTTATGCCCTGCTGTGTTGTCCCTCCAACAGATATCAGGGTGGTTGAAGTCCCCCATGAGGACCAGGGCTTGTAAACATGAGGCTGCTTCTATCTGTCTATGGAGGGCCTCGTCTGCTCGGTCTTCCTGGTCAGGTGGCCTGTAGCAGACCCCCACTATAAAGTCACCTGTCCCTGCCCTGCCTTTAATCCTGACCCATAAGCTCTTGGTCGGCTCCCCATCCATCCCCAGACTCCATGCACTCCAGCCAGTCGTTGACACAGAAGGCAGCACCTCCTCCTCGTCTCCCCTGCCCATCCTTCCTAAAGAGCCTGTATCCTTCCATTCCAACACTCCAGTCACAGAAGCCATCCCACCTCCTCTCTGTGATGCCAATAAAATCATAGCCCTGCAAGTGTGCGCATGTCTCTAACTCCTCTTCTTTATTGCTCATGCTGTGTGCATTTGCATAGAGGCATTTAATCTGGGCCCCCTGATGAAGCTGACTTACTGGCTGGAGTTCCTTTCTGTTGCCCTTCAGGTGCTCTCCTGCTGACCTGTGATCCTTCTCTAGGCTCTGGGTTTATTCGCATCTTGTATATGGTGTGTGCCCAAAGTGTGAACTCTCCAAGATGGAAACCGGATTGCTTCTGTATTTTTGACACTGGTTAATACTCTGAGGTTCTGATTAACAATTACGGTTCCCAAGAATTAACTCAAAACACAGCTGAATGATTTCCGTATTCTTGGAATATCCAGCTTAATTTGTGGAATAATTACTGGCAGCCCTTTAGAACAGGAGTACTGGAATATCTGTCACAGTATTGTGTCTCATCAGGGTGCAGAGATGACTGAGCTACTCATCTTGGGAAATGAGCACAAGTAACCCTAACTGCTGGTGCTTATTAAAGAGTTCAGATACATCCAGTCATTTTTAGCAGAAATATATGACTACCCATTAATTTTCCGCTGTCTGTTGTCATGCTGTACTGATGTTATTTCTTTTCATGTATTTACAAACTGTATCTTTAAAATACTTTGTACATCTTTGAGGTTTTAGCACTAAAGCTGCAGTTATTACACCTTCATCAGGGATAACTTCTATACTGTCTGACAGAAACTGAAATTCCACTGAATAACGTAGGAGACTTACTTAATTTGGAGCTTCAGTTCTGAGGCCGTAAGCTAGCCTGAGATTCGGGCGGGGGTTTATAGCACAGTCCCACTGCCCAGTTTGCAGTCCAGTGTTCATAATTTCAGGGTTGCCCTCTTTCAAGCAAACAAGTCAGCCACTATAAAGTCACCTGTCCCTGCCCTGCCTTTAATCCTGACCCATAAGCTCTTGGTCGGCTCCCCATCCATCCCCAGACTCCATGCACTCCAGCCAGTCGTTGACACAGAAGGCAGCACCTCCTCCTCGTCTCCCCTGCCCATCCTTCCTAAAGAGCCTGTATCCTTCCATTCCAACACTCCAGTCACAGAAGCCATCCCACCTCCTCTCTGTGATGCCAATAAAATCATAGCCCTGCAAGTGTGCGCATGTCTCTAACTCCTCTTCTTTATTGCTCATGCTGTGTGCATTTGCATAGAGGCATTTAATCTGGGCCCCCTGATGAAGCTGACTTACTGGCTGGAGTTCCTTTCTGTTGCCCTTCAGGTGCTCTCCTGCTGACCTGTGATCCTTCTCTAGGCTCTGGGTTTATTCGCATCTTGTATATGGTGTGTGCCCAAAGTGTGAACTCTCCAAGATGGAAACCGGATTGCTTCTGTATTTTTGACACTGGTTAATACTCTGAGGTTCTGATTAACAATTACGGTTCCCAAGAATTAACTCAAAACACAGCTGAATGATTTCCGTATTCTTGGAATATCCAGCTTAATTTGTGGAATAATTACTGGCAGCCCTTTAGAACAGGAGTACTGGAATATCTGTCACAGTATTGTGTCTCATCAGGGTGCAGAGATGACTGAGCTACTCATCTTGGGAAATGAGCACAAGTAACCCTAACTGCTGGTGCTTATTAAAGAGTTCAGATACATCCAGTCATTTTTAGCAGAAATATATGACTACCCATTAATTTTCCGCTGTCTGTTGTCATGCTGTACTGATGTTATTTCTTTTCATGTATTTACAAACTGTATCTTTAAAATACTTTGTACATCTTTGAGGTTTTAGCACTAAAGCTGCAGTTATTACACCTTCATCAGGGATAACTTCTATACTGTCTGACAGAAACTGAAATTCCACTGAATAACGTAGGAGACTTACTTAATTTGGAGCTTCAGTTCTGAGGCCGTAAGCTAGCCTGAGATTCGGGCGGGGGTTTATAGCACAGTCCCACTGCCCAGTTTGCAGTCCAGTGTTCATAATTTCAGGGTTGCCCTCTTTCAAGCAAACAAGTCAGGTGGGAGTCTCCCCCTCGCTGTGCTCCCAGCAGCGCAGGGCTTGAGGAGGATCACCCCACCCTCACTATTAACAAATGGAAAGCTTCCTTTTCACAGTGCTAAAGGTCAGGGAGGATCCAAGCAAACACTTCACTCTTCCCCGCAGAGCAGTGATGATCTGAGGGATATTTCAGCACTGCTGTTGGCTGCTGCAGAAGGAAGGAACCTGCGGCTTCTGTAGCTGGGTTTTATTACAGATGAAGACACAGCTGCAGCAGGAGAGAAGCAGGAGACTACTGGCGGAGAGGGGCAGACGTTGCTCTAAGAGATTATCTATCTTGTTCATCCCTGTTCACACATTCACTGCACAGCACTAAACTTTCCTCTGACCAAAATTTTGCTTCCTGGGCTGTTACTGGAAAGCAGAAGCATGGAGAGTTTATTCAAACTTCTGCTGGAGACGGCAAATTTCTCCTTCTAATCCTGAATATTATTTACAGATTAGAAATTCCGGTGTTATACAGTATTATTTTTGCTAGTGAGAGAGAAAAAATGGATGCATTCAGAGCACCTGAAAATGAGTCGCTGTTGTCCAGTTCCTCTGGTCCTGCCAGATGGGATCCCTTCCGACGTCCCTTGGACTCCATCCAGCCCTGGCACTTCAGGCTTCTGGCAGCAGTAATGTTGGTGGTGACCTCCCTGTCACTTGCTGAGAACCTGGCTGTAATCCTGGTAACTTTTAAGTTCAAGCAATTGAGACAACCTGTCAATTACATTATAGTCAATTTGTCTGTGGCTGATTTCCTGGTCTCACTGACTGGTGGCACCATCAGCTTTTTAACCAATCTAAAGGGTTATTTTTATATGGGAGCCTGGGCTTGTGTACTGGAAGGATTTGCTGTCACATTTTTTGGTAAGCTTGATTTTGTTTCTAGTTGTATGTTCTTTTCCTTCAGCTTCCTGCAGTGTATTCTACTATCTATCCTGCAGCTTCCCAAGTCACTGACTTTGCATGCCTTCAGACTCACTAGTTCTTTCCCCAGTTACACATATTCTACAGCAGATCTCACGTGTGAGTGAATAACATATACCACTATCTCTGTCATATATCAGCGGCTTGTTGCATGTATACTGATCACTGAGTATGTTTAATATAATGAGAAAAACCTTGCGAACAGAATAACAGCATTGTGGGGTATTTGGTAAAACAATATCAGAAAAAAAATCACTATATGTAGCTATTTTCAAGGTTTGTATTTAGGTGTGTGCATATATGGATAAATAGAAGAGAGAGAAAAAGGGTGAGTGGCTGCTCTTAAACTGTGTAAAATATCATGGCACAGAAACATATTTTTTAGCTACACCCCAGTGGTTCTGAAGAGCCGTGACACACCTGTAATAGTCACTCCTCACACCTACATATTTTTGTGATTCTTTTTCTTGGCTTTGTTTTACTAACTACACAAAAAGTATTAGAAGAACTCTGAGAGGGAAAATCCTCACCATATTTTTCCCTGTGTAAATACACCACTGCAGGATAATTGGGAAATTAGTTTAAAATGGGACATCTACTTACTTGAGCTAGACCTGCCTTCCTGTTTCTGAAGCTGCACACTAGAGGCAGACTTCTAACTCTGTCACTGCTCTAAACCAAACACATTGCTGGTCCTCAGCCTGAAACGGAGTCTCAGAGTTGCTCACTCTTAGCTACACAGAGGGAATGTCGGCGAGGGGCAATGCTACTAAATCAGTTTGTGGCATGCACGCCATGTGCCATGGAGAAAGATCAGGCTATTTCAAGCTTTTGGTGGCCGCTCAGGTGATATGTGCCTAACAAAATGATAATTTGATGTTGTGGCAGCTGTCTGTACATTAGTTTCATGACAGTACGAAATATGAAATTTCTTGCAAAGATAGCGTTTTGAAGATATATCTGAATTTGTTAATTTGGAAGCTACAAATAATTTGCAGCTTTTCAGAGTAGAACTGAATGAAAAAAAAGAAGTCATCATCAGTTAAATAGCCTGATTAGCTACTTGATTTTGTAGTCATTATACTGTAGACTGGCAAACTAGACAAATATGAATGTCTTGTGCTCTTCATAAATATTAGAATAATGCACATAAATTGCACATCCCTTCACAACTTGGGTTGACGGAAAAGACGCCTGATGTGGTGCGTGGTCAAACACTGAAACAGGTTGCCCAGAGTGTTTGTGGAGTCTCCATCTGTGGAGATATTCAAAACCCAACTGGACTTGGTCCCAGACAACCTGCTGTATGGACCATGCTTGAGTAGGGGGTGTGTGTTGAACTAGATGACCTCCAGAGATGCCTTTCAACCTAAACAATTCTGTGATTCTGTGATGTGGGATGGTCTCTGCTTTTCAGCAAATCTACCCAATTTTTGATGCTGACTGTGTTGTCTTACTATAGGAATTGTTGCTCTCTGGTCTCTTGCTCTTTTGGCTTTTGAGCGGTACATTGTGATCTGCCACCCACTGGGAAATATGCGCTTGAGGGGGAAGCATGCAGCCCTAGGTATTGCCTTTGTGTGGACCTTTTCCTTCATTTGGACCATTCCACCAACGATGGGTTGGAGCAGTTACACCACCAGTAAGATTGGAACTACTTGTGAGCCTAACTGGTAAGGCCACTCTGCACAGAGTACGGTAAAGAAATGAACCTTGCAGCTCAGGACATCGCAGGGCCAGGAATTTAAACGAAAGGTTTAAAGATGATGTACATTTCTGCAAAGATGAATGTAAAGAAAGTTGTAACAAAACTGAGAAAAATTTACCAAGAACAGATTTTTTTTAAATTTCTGAAGGGAGGAGTTTCCATCGCTAATGAAAATAACTGTCCTGCACCTTGTGCTTTTTGTCAGGATTCAAAGAAGACAAAGAGACAAATCTTTTCAGAAGACTGGACAAATTCTGGTCAGACTCCATAGCTGACTCCGTGTCGAGCAGAAGGTTGGACTACATGTCCCTTCCCATCTGACTGTCCCATAGATCTGTGATATTGTGCCTACAGTCATAGGATCCTGTCCTAGCCCACAGCTGGGGAGATGGGCCAAGGCTCCATCTGGTGATATGACTAGAGTTGTACAGGGCCACTTTGAATAAAGGCGGTTGACAAAAACACTAGCAACTGCTTTGAAGACCAAAATTAATATTTCAAGAAAATAGTAAGAATGCATACTAGTAATAAATACACAATGTATTTTGTGCTTTATACAGGTACTCAGGAGCTTATACCGACCATACGTACATTATTGCATTTTTCACCACCTGCTTTATAGTGCCTTTAACAGTGATTTTGGTATCCTATGGAAAACTGATGCAGAAGCTAAGAAAGGTAAGAAGAAGCAGTTACAAGTAAACTTCTTAAATGTGTATGTACGGAAACATTTGGAATTTTTGTGTTCAGTTTTCTATGAAGATCAGACATCAGCAGATCAAATTTCCAGGCCGTAAATGCACTCAGTTATCATCCCTTGTTATATAATTATCCTTACACACAGAAATTCATGCTATGGTTAGAAACGATTTTTCAAAGTGTGCAGTTTGCATCACTTGTCAGTACAGCTGATTAGACAAAGATCATACAAATGAAAGAATGTCTGCCTCATAAATAAAGAAACTGCATGACCCAGTATGAGTTTATTTACCATCGTACTTCAATTCAGTGACATTTCTTAAGACTCAAACCAGGTAAATCAGAATTTAGCTTAAAATTTTAAGAGTGCTGGCTAATACTCTATAACATTTGCATGCAGAATAAGAAGTAGAATTTGTAACTAATGTAATGCTGTTTAGTAAATAATAGATTGTACAGGAACATTTAAAAGACTTGAGAAATGCTTTTGAATTTTATTTATTATGTTGACCTATCCAAAAGAGAATCTGCAAAAAGTGAAAAAGAAGACAACAATAGAACAGAAAAATTCCTATTTGGATCATGGTTTTGGGACAATATTTGGGGACAATACTGTTATTTCCATTTACTGTAAATATGCCTTGTCTTATTGCTTCAGTAATAAATTCAGTAAATTTCTTCAATTTATTTAAAGTATTTGTGATAGTAAAATGCTTTTATTTATTCTGAGTCATTTTCTCTAAGTAAAAGAAAACAGAAGAGAAATGCAAAAAATGTTTTATTTTCTGGTTAGAAAATACATATTGGAACATGCATACTTCAGGTGACATCGTGATTCCTCTAAATGGATTTTTCTTGATTTCCTCCAGGATGTATTCAGGGAGAGAAGCTTAAGTGGCTGGGAGAGGTTGATTTAAATATTAAACATGAGAAGTTTCCCAGGTTGAATGTGAAGTGCGGCACAGGTGCTTTGCTGCTCACAGCGCTCATGGTGAGGTAGCACAGTGTTTGTTGGTGCAAGTCTGGGGGAACTTTCCTACAATACTTTGTAAAACTTTGATTCTGTTATTCTGAATATCCAGAACTTTTATTAGTATTTTATTTTTCCATGTCCTAACCTACCTGCAGAGGAAAAGGGATGAAGAGCAGATGAAGAGCTGACACAGCCTCTCACTGTGATGGGTCTGCCAGAGCAGCGGTTAATGATGTGCTACTCAGATGCTTTAGGAGGTGCAAAAATGGGACATTTTCTTCCTTTGGGACAGCCAATTAAGAGGCTGCAAGTTAAAAATCAAGCAGGTGAGGTGAGGAAGAAGGGAGGCAATGAAGGATAATGTCACCGTCAATCACAGCAGAAGCCAGTGAATGGTCCATCTTGCAATTTGGGTCAGGTCAGGATGTCTTCTGGAAGACTGATCTGTGCCATGTAGCAGGTCCCAGCACTGGCCTGGAACCACTGTGATGTGATCTTGCCAGGCTGTCATTCCCACTCCTCTCTCCGTTATCCAGAAAGAATAGCGGTAATGTGAAAATAAAAAAAAAAATCACACTTCTCAGTAAGTTCTGTGTTTCACACTCCCCTTGCAGCGCAGTGACCTGGCAGACCACACAGCCGGGAAATGCTGGGGCAGCCTCAGGGCACTTCATCACAAATGGTTTAGCTGTAGCTGTCTGGCTTGTGCCAGTCCTTGCCTTTGGCTTCTGTTGGCTTTCACAGAGGTGTAACTGAGTCAGCCTTTGTTACTTGTAACAGCTTAAAACACAGTCTGGTGTGGAAAAGCCAACCACCTGCGACATATTCTCTAAATTTGTAATGAATTGCCATAAGGCTGTATGCCACAACTAAGCTGATTTTTAACAATCTGACTACTGTGAACAGAGAGAGACCCAGGCACCAGAACTGGGGTCTTGATGTTCCCAACCAACCCTCTTCCCAGATTTTGACTACCATGTCCCATGGTTGCCACAGTGTAGACTTGGTCCTGAGTGGCATTATTTTGTCTTAGTAAAGTCTGCTAGTCCCCGTGACCCCAGCTTTACAATGCCAATATTAGCTTTTACTACAACTGCAAAACTAATGAAAGAAATGAATCTTTAGGAAAAGATCTAATTAACAGTTTATAATGGAGATAAATTATGGTGATATTACTTTTTTTTGTAAGATAAAGCACCAGTACATGATTCCTTATCAGTTTCGTGTTCGCAGATTTAAAGGAATCTACTGCCATCCACAAAAAAAATGTAGCTGAGAAAAAGGCCAGGCTGCTAGGAGACACAGGAGACTGTGTTCCTTCCCCAAGGTGACTGCACTTCTGCTGAAAGGGGGGCTGGGCCGATCTCTATGTAGGTACAGTGTGTATGAAAAACTGCTATAGAAACATCGTATGTTGGCAGGGAATATCTTAACTTTGCTCAGGACCTAATACAGCCTTCACTGATGCCTAAGAGCTTGTGGGTATTATGACAGTTCATTATTGTTGCTATTGTGTTTATTGTTTGTTAAAAAAGCCTACATGAATTACAACTTTCTCCAGCAGTGAGGACACGACCTTTCCCAGGAGGTGCTTCTATACTTCTGTAAGTGCTAAATGTGTTAAACTGTCGGAGTGCAGTGCAAGCGTTATTAGGGAAAATGTCTCCATTCAGTTCTAATGTTACTGTGGAAAGCTAAAAGGCCATATTACACCAAAACCTCTTACTTTATTAGCATTTATTATTGCAAGACCTGGCATCGGGTTCTTCTAGAGCCATACAGAGTTATCATTAGTTAATTCCCATGTAAGCTAACGTTACGTGACAGTGCCTTGTTTCTCTAAGTCATCAGAAGCAGAACAAGGATGTTTCCCAGAAAGACATTGTTTGACATCACATAACCTCTGTATCAACATCTCTAAGCTGTTTGCACGATCAGTGAGGGGAAGAGGGGGAGTGTTCCTGGTAAATGCCCCAATCCTATTTTATTTCTGGTGTCATTAGATTGTAGACGCTCTTCTGGTGAAGGCCATAAAGCACCACAGAGCTTGACAGACTCTCCTGGTCACTGTTGCTTAGTCTGGTCTAAACTCCACCTATGGCAAGGTGGTTGCACAGCCACAGCAGAGTGCTGTCTTTAATGCCCATATTGGACACCTAGCTGTCAGCAAAGGCTACATGAAAAACAAAGTGCTTGAATTCAGGCTCACAATCTGGTAATGACTCACCAAGATGGCCTTCCTTTTCAGTAATTAAGTCACGATCATGCCTTCAGTTAAACTGTTGCAATTACTGTGAGTAGCCATAATGGCAGGAGTAGACTGGGAGTTGGCTGAAAGCTTCTCAATAGCTGTTAGCCACAGCTGAATTTTTACACCCTGTGGGGGTGGTGGCTGGCCAGGGCTCAGCTATACCAAGAGGCAGCACGAGAGGGCTGGGGAGACCAGCTTGGTGGGCAGCCTTGGGAGCAGGCTGGGGCTCAGGTGCCGGTGGGGGGACAGGGACAGCTCAGCCTCCTTTCCTGCACTGCCTTGCCTGGGGTTGTTTCCCCTCTACTGATGGTGACCGTAACAGCCACGAGCCTGTATTTCCAAATTTCTGGAAAAGTCTGTGGTCCAAGGCAAGAGCTTTTACTTGAAGTCAGCCCCTGGCAGTGGCCTGAATGAGAACCTGGAAGATAGCTGAAGCTGCTGAAACTTGTAAAAAGATCTCATAAGGACAATGCTGTGCTTGGGCTGACTGGTGCAGAAGACAGTTTTGTAGGTAAGATTAGAGTTAGTTGGCTGTAAGGCTGGTTCAAAGGTGTATTTGCATCTCACATTTGCCTAGTAATGTAATTGTGCTTTTCATTATATTTTGCTATACATGAACTGGTTTGTCAGGACAGCAGCAAATGCATTTCACAAAAAGACCAGAAAAGGGCAAGAGAGGGATGGATACAGCTCCTACCAGTACAAAGTGTTCTCTAGTCAGCTTTCCTGCAAGCCAAGAAGTCTAGCTCTATTAGGCTTTGTGCAGATCTAGAGCTGCTGTAAGCTGAGGTAGCTCCATTGAAGTTAGTGATGTATGGCAAGCTGTATCATCCAAAAATGTAGCCCTAATCTCTGTTTCCTATTTTTAGAGGTAACTTATTGTCATAAGTTACCTCATACTGTTCACTCTGTCAGGGGCATTGTGTTCTGTTATTTGGCATTCTAAATACAGGCCAAATGTTGTCTCTGATTTGACTGAAGTCATTAGGATTTCTTTTCGCACAGATGGAATTTAAAGGTATTTCTGCACTGCCTCAGGGCAGAGTGCTCCAGCACCCATGAAGTTACCTGAGCTAGATTACCTTTTGAGAGACTGGATAGCAAACCCGTGCCGTCGCTTTGCTCATCGTGACTTGGCTGAAGCTAGCTTGGGAGTGTCTCTTTCGGCTGCAGTCGAGCCTCACTGCAATTAGATTTCCACACAGAGATTGCCCTAGTAATAGCTTTTTGGTCTCACTTTGACAGTAAAAATATAAAGATACTTAAGCAAAGGAAAATTTAATAACGACAAAATACAGTAATTCACATCCCTCAGCAGTAACATTGACACCCTGTGATCCAGTAACAGCATCCTTACGTGCTGTCGTACTCAAGAAGAGTAGGTCTTTCCTTCTAGCATGGCAGATTATTAGTCTGCCCATAATTCACTGGTTGGAGGCCTTGTTGTTTATTTTCTGGAATCTTCTCTCTTTTCTTTAAAGGTGTCAGATACGCAAAGCAGGCTGGGAAGTACCAGAAAACCTGAAAGACAAGTGACTAGAATGGTCGTTGTTATGATCATTGCCTTTCTAATCTGCTGGACGCCATACGCCGCCTTTTCTATCCTAGTCACTGTGTACCCCTCCATTGAGTTGGATCCTCGTCTGGCAGCAATTCCAGCTTTCTTTTCCAAAACAGCTACTGTTTATAATCCTATTATTTATGTCTTTATGAACAAACAGGTACTGTATACTCTCAAAGTGTCTTTAACTTATATTTTGTTACTTTGTCTTGCTTTGTAATGAATTATTTCTACCTACCAACATGTTAGTTAACTAGCATTGCAATATCCAGCATTTAGAACTACCAAAAAACATCACTGTATATCTGCCTACTGGAAGATAGCATCAGCCTCTGTGCATTATTAAAATGAGCATGAATAATTATTAAGTTTAGATATTATAAAGGAAAATCAGCCCCTAGTGAACATCAGTTAGTTTTCTGTATGCAAGTCCTGTTTTCAAGACTGTTCCAGTACACTTTTATAATTCTTCAGGAATGCAGCACCAGTGAGTTGATTTTGAGTTGGGGGTGGAAGTTTTCAATACCTTCAATTTGTGTCAGGAAATCCTGCATTTGTGGCTGTATGTACAGGGAGGGCAGAAGCATTGCATGTGCCTGCGGGACAGGGAGCTTTCTTCTCTGGAATGAGGGCAGGGGTTGGATGCAGAGAAGAAGAAGTGATAAGGGGATGAACCAAACTGATACGTGTTCACTATGGTAACAGGCATGATAATAAACTTGCATAGATTTATGCAATGAATGCAGCTACTGAGAGTGGTGGCATCAAGCAGAGTATAAGCACGTAAGTCAAAAGAAGAGAAACAGTAAAGTGACTGTTGAATAAGAATTGATGAATACGTTTATTCAGTCTTGCAGAGAGAGCTATTGCTTGCCTTACATCCTATGGACAGTATCCCAATCTCCCAATGCATGGCATACGTGTGCTGGTCTTACCCTACTCATGAACAACATGGATGCAAACCATCTTTGAATAGCTGGGTATTAGCATATGAAAGCAACTCATAAGCCTGGAGAAATGACCAATTCTGTCCATTAGTTGTGGTTAGTAACAAGCAGAAGAGGAAAATTGTTTTTTAGAATAAGCTTTTCCACTAGTCTGGGTCTTTTTAGAATGTCATTATTTCGCAGTTTTAGAGTTCTTCATGGTGGCATAGGCAAATATATTTTATGGGGCTATTTCTTTATATTCCAAACTGACTCATGAGCGAATTTCCAGGAGTTTTAGCGAAGACATATACTGCTTTATAGAGATACTTTAAAATTCCTTATGTGTTTTGACTGATCTCCTTTTTTCCAACTTTCTAGTTCAGGAAGTGTCTGATTCAGATGTTCAGCTGCAGTGCCATAGAAACTGCAGAGTCTAACATGAACCCAACTTCAGAGAGAGCAATGCTAACCCAGGACAAAAGAGGCAGTGAGATGTCCACCATGGCAGTACGTAGCACCATTTCTAAGAGGAAAACTGGAGACGAACACAGAAAATGTCGATCTTTTGCTCAGTTTGCAGCTTCAGAAAACAAAATCTGTCCCATGTAGGGTGGGAGATATGATCACTAGTGCAGTGCTACAGCATATTTCCTTGTTACCTTCACTTAATACAAAAAATGTTGTCAGTGGGGACATTATGCTTCTGTGGACACTGGCTTTTGAGATTCTGGGCTCCTGAGTGCATGTCAGAGTTTCTTGGCTCTGCAGTTGCAGTCAAATAGCCAGCCATGAGATGAGTCCTTTCCTCCACCACATTCCTCCTCCCAATGCACAGCCTGCTTGCTCCTGAAAACGACATCAGGGGAGCCCAGTGCTGCTATGCTGGCGTGTAATACAGTAAGGATAGGAGAGTTTTACGCTGATGATGGCTCCTTGGTCAGCTGCACAAAAACATGAAGTGGCACATGGCTTCGATATGCTAATGGACAAATAAATAATATATAGCACACAGCTGACTCACTTTCAACCAGTGGAGGTTAAGGGAGGAACAGGTCTGAGTGCTTTTTTGATTTGTTAGGGTATTTTTACTAAAAAAGCAGAGAAAACCATTGGCTTCTGCACTTATGTCTGTCCTTGAAGAGAATATTGTTTGGGCCACTAAAATCTCCAGCAGCTCAGACAAGCCATCCAGACACCCAAGCACTGTTTTATTAAAATAACCCCTATAAAGTGCTGTTCATATCCTCTCTCTGCATTCCCTCTTTGTCAAGAAAATATTCTGTGCTTGTGGCAACTTTTGAAGTAAATTAATTCGGACTAGCGGATCATTGTAGGTCCCTTCCAACTCAACTATTCTATTAACTCAGCTTTAGAAGACAAGTTAGTAGGGTATAGGGAAGTTTTTCCCTGTATGTGCCTGCACTGTGCAGAGCTAAGAACTGTCATGTTCTTGAGACCATATAGCTCCAGGTGACAACTATTATTTCTGTTTCTTAACAACTACAGTTTTCAGAAATCAGTGGTTAGAGAATACAAATATTATGTATGTGCTGGGTCACATCACATTGGAGCATGTTAGATGTCTGTATTTACATCTGTATGTTTTTACTTTTCTCAGTTCTGAGCTAGGTCATGCCTCTCCAGAAAGCATAAGCAACACCCTAGCCCAGCAGGCAACTCGCAGCAGCCAGTGGCACCGCACTGTCGTTCTCCTCTGAGGAGCTGCTGTGTCCCTTCAGTCCTTCAATTCTTGTTTCTGCCTAAGTCACATCCTCACTACATTTAATTGAGCTGCTGATCCTGGCATAAATCATTAACTTGTTATTACAGCTTTGATATCAAAAGCAAGGAGTGCAACATAAATACACTTTCTGTAAACAGTGAAAAAGAACAGAAATTGCCAGCTTTCCATGGCTGCATTCCATCTCATATATTTAATTCACACAATGGCATGCAGCAATATGCTTAGCTTTAGCAGAATGTCGCTTACACACACGCAAAACCAAACTAGGCCATGAGTGTAATAAACTGTTTTAAAAAGCCTTTGGTGAAAATTGTATAAAATTTTGCTAAGACCAAGCATATCCGATTTTGAATCCTATATAAGATCTATACTTCACTGAATGCATTTTAGAAGAAAACGCAAGGGCTGACTATATTTAAATACTTTAGTATGGAAAACCATTATTTCTACACAAGACATTACTAGAGTGCCAGTTGAAACAAAAGTTACTCCACAGTGGTATAGAGGACCCACACTAGCTACACACTGTACAGCCCGTAGCAACAGAAATATGATATGGAATGAATCATCCAGTGTTGTTTTACTTCAGAAAATTACAATTTCTTTACACAGAATTAAAGACGTTTTGTTTCTACCAGATTTTTCTCATGTTTTTATTTTGTTAAGTTACAGTTTGAAAAACTATATTGCCTTGAAAAGTAATGACAGGTAGCCACCTGAGATATCTGTTGCTAAACCTAGTCCCAGAGCAGCACCTTGCTGAGCTGGAAGTCAAGAACCATCCCTGTAGCAGATGGGGATGTTGGTAGATCAGGGAAAGGAAACACAGAAACACAGTACAAAACATATCCTGAAACCCTGGTATCTTGCAAAGGCTGATTTCTTTACAATTCTCATGCTCATGATAAGACAGAAGCTGCAGATCCCTGCCAGTGATGGAGGGACAGGCACGGGCAGTGTGGCCCTGCAGCCACTCTGGCCTTGGGATGCTCACATGAACTGCCTGGACACCCGTTCCTGCTTGTGGCCCCTTGCAGCATTCACACTGACGGGCGCACAGAGTAATTCAGCCCCCGTATTTCTGCACAGCCCTGGCTTTCTGACGCATTTTGCTTTAGCTCTGTGAAGACAGTCTAACCACCGAAGCAGCAATGACAGTAATGTGGGAGAAATCATGAGCTCTTCACTCCTCCTCCCTGTCACCAGCCTTCTCGTGGGGTTGTGGATGGGGGGGGTCCCACTGTCTGCAGTCCTCACTTCTGAAGGCAAAGTGGAGCTTGGCGGGGGGCTTCAGGCAATAGTGTATCTGGCATCCAAGACAAACATGTTACAACAGGTAACTCTGTGTACCTGCTTTTCTTCTGTTAAAAGATCCTTTATAAGTACATAGGTAAAATATGATCCCTTCAGCAAGTGTATTTCTGTAAAGCTTTCCCTTTACACTGTAAGTGGTCAATTTCTTTGTCCCTGCTCTTTTTCCCCCTTCCCCAACTTCCTATTGTTCTCATAGGACAGCTATGAGTGGAAAAGACCCAATCATACTCTTTGTTTTGCATTTTATAAGCATGAGACAGCTCTTCAGACATTTTCTACACCATGTGTCCTTTGCAGAAGAGGAGGAAGAAGAGAAGTTAGGAAGCCATGGCGATTGACCATACAAGGAGTGAAGTGCACATGAAGTGCTGGCTAGCTCCTGCGGTTGGAGACCAAGCACGATGACTGCAAGGCTGGAGGACAGGACTGACATGAAGGTGAGCTACTGGAGTTACCGGAGTGAATGAGCAAATGTGGGGAGGGCAGGATGGGTACCTATACCCTTACTCCAGAACAGATATCTGCATCATGGCGAACTTTCCTTGCCCAGTGACAGCTGCTGCCATACCAGACACCACAAGGCATGGATGTGCTCTCCAGCAAGGGGCAAGGCACTGCTCAACAAGTAATACCTGGGAGCATGGCACCCTTGTTAACTCTACAATCCTACCTTTAATGGTGCAAGTCAGTGGGTGCTATAGGAATTTCATGTTGTTGGAATACCTTTTAACATATCCTACAAAGGATAGCCATGACTACACCATTCCAGGCCTCACCATCCTTTACCCGGGAGGTGTCAAGCTGTGTAGGTATTTCACAATTCCCTTTGTTAGAGAAATTTAGTTGCAAGACATAGAGAAGTAATTTGTAATATTTTAAAAACCTATTTTTTAATAAGCAATTTTTATACACTGTGGTCTTCCTCTTAACTCATCCTGGACTCAAAATTGATCTGAATTTTATTCTTTTTATAGTTACTGAGTAGGAGCGTTGTTCAGATTCAAATACCCCGATTTCATTTTAGAATGGCAAGATCCAAAGAGATGAGTTACTCTACAAATAACATCATGAGCTGGAAATGTGAGAATTCACTGCAAGACATCTATGCACTTCATATTCATCTCACAAGATTTCACGAGGCGATTGTCTTCTACAGTATAATTTTTGCCTCAGTGGGCTTGAGCTTCTGCAGTACTTAATCTTAAACCCAAACTATGAACCTCATTCTGACAGCCACATTCTTCATGATTCATATTCTTTACCATGAATCCTGTGGATCTAAAGCAAAAATGTCAATAAATATATATGCCTTTTTTACATATTTTGGGAATATTGTGAGACAGGAAGGGTAAGATATTCAGTAATTATTTGTATGCATATTTCTGTGCTCATTAGTCTGTTAAAACAGTGAGGTATGATTTGAAAGCAAAAATTCTTGCATTTAAGACTCAGATTTTCTCTCTCAAGGATATGTTGACCTAGGTTAATCACATGTTAATGGTATTGGATGTATTAAATCATGAAGAATTGGCAGAAGTGTTAGTATTTAATTAAAAGTAACAGAAATATTTTATCTCCTGAGAAGGTGAGGATACATAGAGTATTGCTCTGTAGTACAAAATAAAGCATCAAAACTTAGGTAATGGCAAAGAAGAAGACAACGTAAAAATGCGTGGAAACCCTTAGAAAATAGCAAGTTAAAATGAATTAGCCATTTGATAAGTGGCTACATGCAAGTCAATGCAAGTCACTCACGATGAAGTGGTACTGGTGAGCCTTTTAGACTATTTCACCAAAGAAAACTTGGTTTGCATCTGTAAATTAATTGAGGACACCAGTTTGTAAAGATAGTCAAAGACAGCGTCTCCAACTAACAAAAATGGAAGCACACCCACTTCATACACTAACAGCCAGTGCGAGGTTAGCCATAGGTCGCACTGCCATTGTGCATGGCAGGGTGGATAGTCTGACACCAGGCTTTGAATTACTGCACTCAAAACATTATAAGGAAGGGTATTCATAGAGGAGGTTTAGGGCAGTGCTCACATTTCAGCCACAGAGCAGACAAATAACCTTGGCTTTTTTAATGAGGAAAAGGGAGAACTGCAGCACAATAGGAACAAAATAGGAATCCTCTGAATAAGAGAATGTATAGGAATACACTGAAAAGTCACAACATTAAGTCCTGCTTCCTTTTGCCTAGTCATAAGCAAGTGCTTGAAAGAGAAGGCAAGATTTTCTCCCCAGGTCAGGTAAAGGAGTCCACACTGCCTATCCACCTGCAGCACTCCTGCGACAGCCACCTGAATACCTTCACAGTCAGAAGTTCTAAGGTGATTTTTTTTTCTGTGCAAAACCAATTGTCTTATATATTTTTTTAGGGGAAACAGTTTTGAGATAACTTTCAGAGCCTGACTTTCAGAAAAAGATTTATTTTAAATTTATTTAGCATTTTCTGTACCTTTTGGTTATTAAAGTTGGAAGATAATAAGAAAACATGGAAACACCCACACATACACACTTCTCCTACACATTATTAGAGGCTTCAAAT